TCGAGGGCATCGCGCGCGTGCTCTTCGCCCAAACAAACAACGCATAGATCGTGCGAGTCATCGGGTGTTAAATAGCGATGACATGGGTACACACACCTTCTAAACGTCCTACTAGTGCTCGCCATAATAAAAGGAAAAGCTCTTACTTTTGCTTTAGAATGCACGCTTCAAACAGAACGGTCAGTGAAGACGAAGAAAGCGAATGATGTGTGCTACCGGCGCCTATTTTATAGTCGCACCGGTAGTGACGTCATGGCTGTCGCCGGCCAACGAGTTGGTGTGTTATTTCAATGTATGCTTCAGACACGGGTCACGACGAGGCGTTCCCCATAGCGACCCCTAGAGGACGCAGTTCGAAGTTCCACGAAAGGGAACTTTAATTTTGGATGCGATTAATCACGATTAATCATTTGACAGCACTATTTTTAAGTTTATTAAACTCATATTGAACTTATAACACACTCACCCTAAAGTACACTCAAAAAGTTGGATGGCTTTATTTTTTTACATTTAAAATATTTTACAGTACAATCCAGATTGAGTTGTAGATGCTTGACAGAGCATCAGGCTGTACAAGATGTGTTTGCTTGTTCACCATATCTGTGACCTTGTGTCTTCTACGGTGAAAGTAAAGCTCCTTATGCAGGGTGGGGGAGAGAGGAAATACATTCCTTAGCAAACATCAGGATATGAAGGGCCTTGTGAGTATGACTTGAGATGTCAGTTCAGTTGTCTTTTTTCCTGCGCTGTACAGGATCAGGAAAAGGGGTTTGATTGTTCTGTTGAGTCATATAATAAGGGCCAAGGCTGCTAAAGGTATAAGGCACTCATTCCAAAAGACATGTTTCCTTTTGTTAAACATAAATGAAAACATAGAAGGGAAGGAATTGCAGACAAACACTCCCTGTTTGTATTTCTGACGCATATGAATAGTCATATTTCTGTTCAGTTTGACATTCTGTTATATGTAAGTCAGCTTTTTACTGGTGATTTATAGTTTTAATGCACAACAGGATTTACATTGTTATACCAATCACATGGTTGAAATGCGTTGTGCTGTTAATCATATACAGGAACTAAATATAAAGCCAAATATCAAATAAAATGCCCTTTAATGCAACTCCATACTGCGCCTCTTTACTGGCACAAGAAAGTAAAATTTATTCCATACAAAAGTACTATTAAATTTCACAGTTTTGTTGCTTCCAGGATCTGTCAACATCCTACTTTAGCACTTGTACCACTCTTTGTATAGTACTCAGTTTGATGTATGTGTTCATGAATGATGTTTATAGGGAAAAAACAGCCTCACAGATGTCTGGACACAGTTCATATCTCCCACTGGGTCCCTTGTGAGCCTCTGCTGTCCGGCCTTGACATGTGAGGCCAACGAGAAATAAACGTGAAACTAATTTGTGTTATAATGACAGGACCATTTGTTAGTAACATTTAAGTTGAGAGATGTATTTTTGGCCAGAGGAACTGTGGATTATTATTTCTTGGCCTAATAAAACAGTATTAAATATTAATTTTTATTAAATGAAATAATACATCTGCAATAGGTTGATGATTTAGATTTATGCACAGCGGTATTTTTCAAATGAATCTTAAAGGATCATCCAGTGGTTTATAGTAAACACTTTGTCTTGTCTAACAAATTTTATGAATGTAACTGTACTGGCACTGTGCAGCTTAGCTAAATCTGGAGGGGTTTTTCTTTTCTATTTTTTCTACTTAAAGAATAATAGTTTTAAGAGATGCTATGGACCTGAAGTGTCTGCCAGTCAAAATAACCCAAATCAATACCATTCTTGGTTATGAGTTGTGACTTGATGAGAAGAATGTTTTATACACTTTAGTGAACATGAGTGACAGAAGGTTAGTAAATTAACTGTGTCACTATGTTGAATAAAATACACGCATACAGAACATATAGCTTTATTTTAGCAGGAACCGTAATACAATGCATATCAACAGATAATTTATTGGCTCTTATAATAGTTTGTCGTTGGTGGGAAAGAGTCTTTTTTTTGGATGCGGGTAAAATGCGTATTCTCTATAAATGGATCCGTGATATGTAAATAAGTTGTGCATCCTACATCTCCTTCCATAGACTTCCATGTGTCTGTGTGAGAGAGGATGCAGTAGAGCTCCTGAATTTCCAGCATCTGTCTCGCTGGAGCGATCCGTTGACTTGATTGTTTGCTCTCAGTGTCTGTTAGATCACACTCATTCTAGTCCATGCCTTTACTCTCACTACAGTTAAAATGGATTGAAATTGAAGACTATGAATTAATTCAGACAGCAAGAAACAAGCATTATTATTATTATTATTATTTTGCATTATTATTATTTTGAGATCACATGTAGTAGTATGGAAGTTTCCTCACAAGTCCACAATAATTCTGAATGCCATCTTTATTTCCTCATGCCTCCGTACTGAAAGAGACCCTTCTTCCCTTGTTATTCAGCTCAAAGCATTTTTTTTATTTCCTTTAAATATCACAATCTTCCACTCGCCTGTGCCCTTTCCATATTCAGCTGTGGAGTCTTGGAAAAATTCGTTTTGGATTTAAAGAGCACACATAGACAAACAAAAGAAGCATTGTAGGCAGGAAGAAGCGCAAGATGAAACTGGACACAGAGATTTCTTTTTCTTTTTGGGTGGGTGGTATTTGTGTGATCTAAACAACTGTAGCTGTGTCCCAAATGACACACTATACACTGCACTTATACACTATGTACTTATGCACTATGTAGTCAACCATGTTGTGTATGAATTATTTAAGGTTATTTTGTCATTAATAATCGGAGTGTGGTAGCCCCTCCCCCTTCGCTACGTAATTAAAGCTGCGACAGTTGAGTGAATTAAGTGTTCAACATTCCACACTTAATTTATTTTTTTTTTGGTTATTTAAGTGCATCATCCGGGTATTTAAAGTGAACTTTTTCTTTTTGGAATTTTCAGTGTGAACACACTACCCGCATTATTTACACTACAAAACGTCATAGAATAGTTCATAAGTACGCGATTTGGGACGCACCTTGTAATAGCTCTCATTAATAAAGAAAAGCATTAACCCCACATACAAGAGACTATCTATCTATCTATCTATCTATCTACACCATAACCTTCAGACCTTGAATCTCTCTTTAAAATGCACAAGTATGCAAACTACATATGGCCACAATAACATTCAGACTTGAAGGCTTTTTCCAACTTTCAGAAAAACAGACTGGCCAAAACCCTGTTAGTACCAACTGTATAAGCAGTAAATTGTTGTTTCGCTGGAAACGCAGACCCTGACAACTTCGTTGAAAAAAGTGCCTATAACAAATTCCAAATGGTGAATGCTTATCCTGACTTCTCCTTCCTTCCTGTCAGTAAGTGATTTGAGTTTTTCCGTCTTTGATGATTAGTCTCCTTTAAGGACATGTAACGTATTGTTTTGGACAAACGTTCCTATCCTGTCTTGACAAACATTCCTTTATATTTACATTTCAGTGTCAAAGAAGAAAATGTCAGGGTCAGAATAGTTTCATGGCACAGATCTGTGCAGTTTCCTTTAAACAACACAATATACTAGAATGCAAAAAATTAAATGACCTTGACCTTGAGTTGTAAAACTGTATTTACGATGCTTTTGTCAAATATGACATAAGGGACTGGTAAATACCGTAATGCCATTCACAGTAGACTAGTAAACCCTCTTTTCCAGCTACATACTTGCATATCTGTGGTCTACTTAGGCTATATGATAAAGATGTCCCTGTTTTACTAAAGACCCTGGCATTTTGTGTTAGTCTCAACACAGGATTTAGATCAGCAGTTTCCACACAATTAGGCAGTCTAAACGGTGATCTAACTGTAATCACCACGAGTGACTTGAAAGGAAACAAGCTGAAGGCAGCTGAAAAGATGCACATAAGGTTTGACGTATGTTCAAAACATCTGTCTGCCTGTCTCAGACAGGTACATTTCCTGTAGAGGAAGTCTTGCTTTGGAGTGATTCACAGTCAGTCAGTCTTATCCTAAACATCTTCCTAAGTAGCTTATCTGTCTACACTGTGAAGAACAGAGTGTTCCACATCTTGGAACACACCAAGATCCTCCATCTCTCAGATCAGGGTCCAGAATTATCATTTTGCCATGCCTGCCAATGATGACCAACTTTTTTTTTTTTTTGGTGAAATTTGATCTCTGCTAGATATTCCACAGTAAACTGTAAGTGGTATTATTATAAAATGGAAGTGTTTAGGAACAACAGCAACTCAGCCATGAAGCGGAAAGCCATTTGAAGTCACAAAGCAGGTCACCAGGGCGCATTATCTGTAAAAGTCACCAAAGCTCTGCTGATTCCATAGCTGAAGTGTTCCAAAGTTCGACTGGCATTAGAATCAGCACAAAAACTGTGCAGTGGAAGACTCATGGAATGGGTTTCCATGGCCGAGCAGCTGCATGCACGC